AATAAGGGTGTGCATTATACACGAGTGGTAACTGAAATACCTTGTATCTGTTCTTGTGTTTTGTAACTATATGTTACATAGAATTTCTCGTACAATAATGTATTAAAAAATAAATGCTAAAATTCCTTTATAATACCAAAAAAAGTATCTAAATATAAATAAATAACTGAATTAAAAAATTAAAGGATTTTTTTCCTGAAAGTTTGAACCAAAAATGTGTGTGTACATTATACAAAGCAAAATACAGTAACTATGCAATTCCCCTAACTGAAAACAAAAAAAGGGGCTCGCCATTCATTTCAGACCCTTTAGAATAAATTCAAACTCCTTACCTTAAGGTACAATGCTCCTCACTACCTCGATTCTTGCTAAGTGATTTTATCTCCCAATCTCACTGTTAATAGGAACTTGTGATGCTCTAAATGAGTCAAGGAGAATCTCTTCCTTCAGAGATCAGCTGTCTCTCGGTTTCTCTTTGCTCTTTCCTACATGAAGCAAAACTCTTACAGGTTCTTCAAAGCATTATCCTATCAGGCAAGCAGAACCATCTCCTTGCCACATAATTTACACTCTTCCTAGGGCTTCCATGGCAACCTGCATTCCTACATAGTGTTTACCTCATACATTGCAGACTTTGGTTTCACTGCATCCCTACCCTCACTTCCTACTCCAGCACACACATACACATCAGGACGAATACAGATTTTTAAGCTTGGGATCCTGTCTAGGAGGTGTGTGTCCTTGGTTCTTGCCATAACATCTTGTACATTGTGTTCAGTAAGTACTTGTTAAACGAAAGTTTCTAGAATGTGAAATTGACTCTGTCAATTTTTTACTTAAAATGCTGTAATGTCTCCTCAGAGCCTATAGAGTAAAATACCAAACACATTGATATGTTGTATAAACCCTTGGTGATTTTGCTTGTTCTTACTTCTCCAACATCATATCTCCCCACCTGAGAATGATCCTTATGCCTCCTACCACTCGCGTAGGCACATACTGGGTGTCCTGCTCACACCAAACCATTTCCTGGACAGTTGTTCTCAGACCTCTGTACTTTGATGCATGCTGCTGACTTTTCTTGGAATGTCTTTAAAAACCAGCTCAAGGGTCACCTCTGCTCTGAAGTTTCTTTATATTCCCCTTTCCCTACTCATAGCAATGCTAGACACAGTCTTCTTGGTTTCCAGAGTCCCTATCGATAATTCTATTATTGCACTCACCACATTAATCCCTTTATTAACTCCTTTTCCTATTAGGCTGCAAGTTCCATTGGGCAGGAATGTTACTTAGTTCATCTTTGTATTCCTAGCACCTAGCACAGTGCCTGGCACATAAGAAACACTCAATTAATGAACACTTTTCTTCAAATCATTTGCTTTAAAGGGCTTAAAGTTTAAAGTATTATTTTTAAACTTTGTATCATTACTTTCATCATTATTACAAAGAGCTTATTGGTGATGAACTTTTTAAAGTGCAAAAACATAGAAAAAGAGCAAGTCCACTTATTGAGGAGTATAGGGGCAGGCTACAAATTTTAAGGATGTGTGCTTTTCTACAGCCTCCTGTGAAACGAGTCACACTGCTAATTAATTAATTATATTAGTTAGACCATTTGCTCCATTCAGAATGAAGTGAATAATTGCCAGGTTGAGAGCATATATCTTCAATTCACATTTGCATTGCAAAGAATTAGTCATTCAGGGAATTATTTACTTTTATTTTCCTCAATTCCCTCCATATTTTGAAACTACTTAAAAATTTTCAAAGGAAGGACTATGAATATAGGCTCCTTATGTCAAACTATTTTATAAGTCAAAATGATTTGTAGCCTCTCTCAGACATTTTTACAACACGGGATCCTACATTTTTTCTCGAATGTTGTATGGTTTTTTCTATAAGCTTTTCCTCATATTTTTCCACAATAATAAGCCTTGCTTTTAGATATTTAAGTCTCCTCTATAGTGACAAGAAGCATATTAATTATTTCAGCAAGAAGCAAATATGAAAACAGCATAAATTTAGGAGACAGTATTGTGTTATCACAATAATTTCAGATGCCCACTTGATAATGGCACTTTAGAATTCACAAGGGCATGAGGCAAGCATCAGCACAGTGCTTTATGTGTATCACTAGGTCAGAAGCTGAACTCTTCCTCCTCTGCTTTGGTATTAAAAGTTGAATTACAAAATCGTAGAATTTGAAGATTGAGAAGCACTCAGAGGTCATTTAGTCTAACTCCTTTACATGAATGAATCCCCTCTACAACATCCCTAATAAATGCCTCTTCGTTTTCTCCTTGAATTTCTTCATGATAGTGAGCTTACCACCTCCCACAAAAGCTCCAGGTAAAAATGAATGCATATTATCACACTTTAGGCAGATTTTCCACCTTCTGTAATAGTAGTTATTTCCAGCATTGTGAAACCTACCAATGTGATTAGTATGAGTCATATGTCTTCCACCTGTTTTGTGTATAAGGAAGGGGAAAAAGGCAATTATGGAACACACAAGGCTTTCATTTCTATTTACCTGTCCACCTAGATGCTGCCTCTTTCTAGAAAGGATCTTAAATGAAATGACTTAAAAGGCCTGGATGCAATAAAGTTATTAAAATAGAAATAGAAATTCAAAGTTCTGAAAAGAAATTCTTTACTCAAAGGCTAATACACTTGCTGGCATTGAAATTAAATTTATCCACAGGCTTTCTACAATTCAATATAAAAGGAGAAATATAGTGGATTGCACAGTTTTCCTTATCTGACAGAAGAAAATATACTAATAAATAGAAATTTCTCTGAGTTTCAAGTAACAAGAGAAATTTCTCATGTAGCCTCTTATAAAAGAGATTTACTTCTTAGTTTTCTATGTGCATTTATTTTGCTCTCTAAAGCACTGCCAAGAATAGTGCTAAATAGTCCCTTAAACAATTAAAAATCTCACTACCTCAATCCAACACTAACCAATATTTTAAAAAATTCTGTTGAATATAGGAGACAAAGCACGGGCACTGGATAACTACTTTTCCAAAAGGGGTTGAGAAAACACCTTAAACTACCTTAAACCCCTTTTTTTGGTCAACATTATGGGGAAATAGCTTCCATATGCCAAATTTTTAGTATATGAGAACAAATGAGAAACTGAGTTAATCTCTCTTGTGGCATAACCATCATTCCTTCACCTCTTTTGGAAACAGCTACAATTGGATGGTCAGTACACACAAAATGATGTCCATGTGAACTAAGAGAGGCGTATAGAGCATGGTAGATGGCAAGCAGAGAGTGCTGTCAGGGTCTCCCTGAATATCTGATAAGACTTTGGCTCTCTTACAAGGAAACTGATATTATAAAGCGAATGGCATTATTAAAGCTGGACGTGCTGCTAGAGGTAATAGAAAAAAACCTGGAGTTTCTCACTTCCTCCTTAAACACTCCAATTATTTTCGTAGAAAGGACATTATAGAACCCTGTAGCCTGAAAAGTTAGCATCTTCTGCAGTTAAGCCCTACTTTTCCTTGTTCTTGGATTGAGGAGTCGGGGAGGTATGGTCACATACTGACCATTTCACCCCTGAAGGCCTTTGCGGTGCCTAGCATCACAAAAGGCCCTAGGGAAAAATAAATTACTCTCCTCACAGTGACTATCACAATTGTGTAGACTTTACCTGGGCTACCTGTTCGATCATAAGTTCTAAATAGCTGAAGACCGAGAGGGCTCAACTGGCCCACCCATGAAGCTAGCCAGGCCTAACTCTGCCCCCTTCTCTTTGTTCCGAAAGGGACACCTGTAATCTGTATTTCGTCTGTCCAAATGCAGCAGCTCCTTTCTTCTTTTCCTTTCTCCTCCTGCTCCTCCTAGTATTCGTATTGTTTTCATTATTACTGTTGAAGAATCTGGATTATATCTAGAGTTCCCTTGTGGTCAATAAGCTATATTCAATTATCACAGGTTAGTTATTGTAAAATAAATGCAAGTACAGTGAAAGTAACTTTCCTATTTAATGAGGCTATTTGTATTTTGGCCAAAAAAACATATTCATGGTGTTACCGTGGAGAGAATGAGATTTCAGACTTATTGTAAAGAAGGCATAAGTACACCTTTAAGTGAATAAGCCAAATCAAATGACCTGGGTTTTTACAGAATTAGAATAAATTGAGAACACATTTGCTTACAGCTGGGATAGTATAGGGACATAACAGTAAATGCTAATGTACATGCTGATGGTTGGCAAGTGCAGGTAAGCATGCTGATCATTATTCCACATCACAGTTTATTATGACATGCAACTGCCAGAAATCAATGTCAAAGCCATGCAAAAACCAGCTACCAGCAGCATAATTTTCTCTTCAGTTTTAGCTATTCTACCCTGCAACCCCCCTTTTGGATAAGCAAGAAGCCTGGGAATAGAGAATAAAGAATAAAAATAAAAAAGGCCCTTGAGTTATTAGATAATTTTTAAATGCCATGCAACCTTGAGGGAGAATCACCAATGGAGACAAGCACATATTTCCCCAGAGCATATTAAAGGATCCTAAAGCATGAATGATGCCTTGGTGAATGGCTGTCTCTAAGAAAGCTTTTTGCTTTTGGAAACCGAGTAGCACAAATACCTGGTATGCAAGAAGTTGGCATAGCAACTCTGCATTTGCAATTGTGAATCACAGAATAAACAGATGCATAAAACAACTACTCAAATGTGCCTGCTTCTCCACAAAGTGGTTAAATCTTGTAAAGCATATTTTTTTGCTTCTCCTTTTTGAGAAATATAAACTCTTCACTCTAATAATTTAAAGCAGGTCATTTGCTGAACAGGTGAAGATATTCATGACTCATGGAAAGATTTATTCTCTCTGCTTTCCCTGGATAAATAAGGTGACATTTAGGCTAAAATTTCCCCCTCACAGTAAACATAATTCTCCATTCACTGGCAAACAGTACTAAAAAAACAAGCTTTTCTGTGTTTGTTCAAAGAATGTATTTCCAGAAAAAGAATTGCTTACCTGTTGGCAACAGGTCCTTTGAAATCTGAATCAAATGTTGAATCACCTGCATTTAAAACAAAGAGATCCTTAAGCATATTAGCCAATGAAATGGCAAATAAATACACAAAATATTAATAAAGAAAAATCTATTTCTCGGCTAGTCCACTGCTCAGTGTGGTGTTGAATTCATTCTTCGGTCCACTGAGACTTCAGTTATGCCTTGGTTATAGCTGTCAATCTTTCTCCTTCTTTCCAGCTAGAAGCAAGACTAAAAAGAGTTGTAGAGGGCCACATTCTCTGCACCTCGTACACATATCCTCTCGCTGTTCTGCTTGGCAATATTATAGAGTGCATACTGAGTAGTGAAATTTGAAGCCCTTCCAGACTGCAAAATAATTTACCATCTGCCATGGCCAAGTATTGCTGAGCACTTGTGAGGTACACAGCCTAATAGAGATGTCTGCTTATCCCAGTTCTCTCTGGCCTCTCGGGAGATTAGGTTTTGCTTCAAGAAGCCAGAATATTAATCACTGTTGTTCTTTGTCATGTTGACGGGATGGCATATACAAATCATTATTATAATACATAAATGTCATTTTTATTGCTTTTTTTTAGATCTACTACCAGACTTCTTGCCATCTGGGAATATGCCTTAGTTTTTTACTGTTGTACCATGATTGCTATATATCACCTCATTTTTAAACAGTGCAAAGTACACAGGGAATGACTCCCTCCACCGTGTGTATTGTATGGGCAGACCCAATAATAACTTCTGTAAGATAGTTTCTGGCCCAAGGTCTGCATTTTGCAACCCCTAGTTCGATTCTTCTCCCTCCACCTAAGCACTACCACCTCTTTCTCTAGAACTTTGTCCCTGTGTGAAGGCCTAGTACTGAGTTAAGAACAGAGTTTCTAAAGGGACTGGAAAAAACGACCCTCCACATGTCTCCTGCCCACCTCATGTGAGTAAATTAACTTTGCCTGTATTCTATGGGGACATATTAGACCAAGAACTCAGAGGCTCCTTTCACATAATCACAGGTTGATGGTAAAACAACAGGGAGGAAAGGACAGACTTGCAACAGAATCCAACAGTCAGTCTGTCAGCAAATATTCATGAAGCACCTCCAGTACAATGAGAGCTCTGAGGGGATACAGAAGATGGATAAGGCACAGTCTTTCTCTCAAGACCTTACAACTGGTGGGCAAGATCCACATATTGATTCAGTCAACAAATGTTTTTTGAGGATCTTTATATACCAGGCCTTGTATTGTAATACATGAACAATGAATATACCATATAAAACAATTAATAAAGGACTAAATTGCATGGTATTTGCCTTAAGTATTACAAGACTTCTGAGAAAGTAGATCTCATCAAAGATTAGAGGAGTCAAGAGGGCTGCATTCCAAAAATGAGATTTACTTTTTTTTGTAAAAGACTAGAATAGAACAAAAGAGAAAGGAGAAACACTCTGAGTGTGCGAAACTAGAACTCTGTTAAATTCAGTAACTATTCATCGATCACCTGTTGTGTGCTCTGCATTAAAAGATACACTGCAGGGGAATTCAAGGTTTAGTGAAACACAGTTTCTATCTTCAAGTTTACAAACTGGTGAGCACATAGGAAAATAAGAAAAGTACACAAATCACTATAATACAAGGAAGATATGACAAGAGGGATACAAAAAATGTGTTAGGAGAGTTCTATGGAAGGAAAGGTCACATTCAGTTGAGATCAGTCAGGAAGGGTTCCCAGAGCCTCAATATTTTGAGACAGGTAAAGTTCAGACCTGCGGAGATGAAGAAGTCACAGAGTCAGGAGTGAACATCACGTTTGTGGGGATGGGGAAAGGATCAGCCTGACTGGAGTACTGGATAATGGGATAAGAGGAGGAAAAAATAAAGCTGAATAGATAGTATGGGAGCAAACTAGAGAAAGCCTAAAACCAGGGCTGGAAATTATTTTATACACCCTAGGCTATAGGGAGCCCGAGGAGAATTTGAATGAGGGGATGACATAGTAGACAAGGTGTTTGAGAAAGAGCCATCTGGCAGCAGTATGCAAGCTGTATTACAAAGTACAAAGTCAAGGAGACCAACTAGAAGTCCACTGCAATCACAGAGGTGAATTAAGGTGAGCCACTGTCCAGTGGTAGTGGAAGTAGTAGAAAGAAAGATTGATGGTTCATCACAGAGCGGTCACGTGGCTTAGGGACCAGGAGAAAAGGCATTAGAGTCAGGCTGCCTGTTCTCTGTCACTTACTATCATATTGACCCTAGAAAGATCATTTTACATCTCTGAGTCTCAGTTTCCATATTGTAAATGGGGATTATAACAGTGCCTTTGCCATAAAGTTATTATGAGGATTAAATGAATCAATACCTGTAAAAGTGCTTAAAACAGTGGCTGGCATTTAGGAAGCCTCCAATGTTCAAATCAAGGGACTACAGACTTAGAAATTTTGATTGTCAATAACTTCTGGTATTTTACCTTGGCTTAAGGAAAGGTCGAGGCTATTAAAATAGTTGGGAACCTTAGCGGGTAGAAGACATTATAAAGTTTTTCTAAGAAAAAGAGCATGAGGTTGCTTTTGCTCTTTTTAAGTCTGAAGTGACATCTAACTGAAAAGCTCAGCATTCAACTGCAGTTGAGAAACTAGAGCCTTGGGTCAAGACTTGAGATAAATATTTGGAAGTTTATATCATGAAAAGTGATGAGCTCTGTAAAGAACATCAGGCCCTGACCAGTGTGACTCAGTTGGTTGAGCATCATCCAGCCAAGCGACAGGTCGCTGGTTGGATTCCCTGGTCAAGGCACATGCCTGGGTTGAGGGCCAGTCCCTGGTTGTGCATGTGCAAGAGGCAATCGATCAATGTTTCTCTCACACATCAATGTTTCTCTCCCTCTCTCCCTCCCTAAAAATAAATAAATAAAATCTAAATAAAAGAAAAAGAAGAACAACACTGGATATGTCAGGTATGCAGAGTAATATTAAAATGACAATAACAATAATGTTTAATGTGTTTTTAACATCAAATGCTAAGCACTGTAGTAAGTGTCTTTATGCACTATTTTGTTTACTTAACACAATAAACTTATTACATAGGCAGATTGGAAATCTCATTTTACATACATAAAAAAACTGTGGGCATATTCCTTAGGTTCTCTTAGAGACAGTTAAAGAGAGCCTAAGGAATATGACCAGTCACACGGTTAATAAATGGTCTACCTGGAATCCACACTACCCAGTCTCACTGCAGCACAGCATATCCTGTTAGTCGTAACGTGTAAAGCCAACATTGGTTCCTACTCTAAGAGGAAGTGTGTGAAATGTTTCCTCTTTGAGACAGTCCATATATACTTCATTGTCAAGTTCTCTGACATGTTGTCGGCTCCTCTTTTAATGACTGTCTGACTCCATCTCCCAGCAACAAATAGCTTTCAGGGCATCTAACTCTCTTTTCTCTGGGAACTGACCTCCTCTCTCATGCACAAGAGTGAGTCTCTAGCAGCCAAGTTTCTCCTATGTGCCTGTTCCTTGGCAATCAGTGACTGGGTCTGGTTTGGACATGAGACTCAAGCTGGGACAGTCATTTCTGGCCACTCTATCTCAGGAATTTAGAATTAGAATGGACAATGAGTTAGTGGGAGATTGGAACTGCAAAAGATAAAGCTTGAAGATCAGAGAAGCAGAGAAAACTGGATCTGAGAAAGAAATTACCAAAGCAAATGTACAAAGAGAAGCAGAGAAGGAAGTCCTGGTGGATTTTAGCTTCAGTCCTACCTGAGGCCCAGGGTTCAGCTTCATGAGATCACCTGTATCTATTTACCAAAGTCCCCTTCTTTGATTTTTTCTTTTCTTTTTTCTTTTTTCTTTTTTTTTTTTTTTGCTATTTCACATCGGTTACAGGCATCTGAAGAGTCCTACTAATATACTTGCTTTCTCAGATCAACTTAGGTATCAATAATTCATTTTAAGAGCATTTATTGTATTCTTGCAATAAACATGTGGTGGGGATTCAAGGATGAATTCATGAGACGAAGTCAGCTTTCATGAACCTCACAGTTGAACAGGAAATACAAACTTAAGATGGTAATTCCTACACTGTGTGGTTGCCATGACAGAGACATGCACAGGGAGCCATGCACGGGACACAGAAGGGCTCATAAATGGATAGGGGTCTCCAGCTCCTGACTGATGCTGAAAAAAGGCTTCACTTTTTGACTTGCCCCTTCCACTCTGATGTGGAACACTAGTACTGGTATTCTTGCTGGTCCAGATTTCAGCTCCCCAAACTAGCTGAACAGCTAAAATATCTCAAAACTTTTTGAGGGGGGAGTATGAGTTTACAGCCCCTCCACACCAAATACTACATTTCTGTTGCTCTGAGGTGCATCTGAAAATGTGTACTTTTTAAAAGCCCATCAGATAATTCTGATGCACAACTGGACTTAGCACTAAGCTACCTGATTTATTCCGAATTTCACTCTTAACCTCCCTCTTAGTTCACACATAGTCTTTAATTCTAGCTTCAATTCATAACGGAAAAAGCCTGGTGGAAGGAGAGAAAAGCAGGTCATCAGGATGTGTAGGAGCCTTGGGAAACACCACAACTAAAGGCAAGAGGCAAAATGAAAATTACAGGGAAAAAAATAGAAAAGTGACATTCGAGAAAGCCAAAGAACTTCAAGAAAAAGGAAGATTATAAGTTCCCCAGGGAAAAAAAGATTATTTAGTGGATGTTTATTTATTTCAGGGACTGCTATGAGTGCTTTATACACAGATAAGCCAGTTTGCACAATTCCACATAGAACAATGTGAGTTATACCCCCTTGAACTGTGCAATACAAGAACAGTGGTATATTTATTATGTCATGTAATGCTCCCAATAATTCTGTGATGTATATAATTATTATTATTCCATTTTACAGATCAGGATATTGAGGCACAGAAAGGTAAGCAGATTTGCCCTAGCCCAGTTAACAAGAGGCGGACATAGAATTGGAAGGCAGTCTGACCCCAAAGCCTGTGTTGAGCCACTTAGCAGCAAATTTCTCAT